ACGCCTGACATTCTGTCCTCTCCCACGATCCCGATACTCGAGGTTAGCAAGACAAGACCGCCCGCGAGAAACGAATCACCCGAGACATCCACTAACAGTCTCCCTGTCCGCACATCGAGCCCTCCCGCCCTAGGTTCCCGCACCAGCACCTTTTCTAGCGTTCTCTCTCGCTCTAGCTCCCCCAATGGGAGGTTGTCGCTGTCACTATCGAAGTTTGGCAGATCACGAGCGAACAGCCCCCTCGGAAACCCCTCAGAAACATATGATGACACACGGTCTCTGATTGTCCGGGCGTTTTCTCCCACTGTTGCAATCTACGCATCGCGCGAGGTGGACGAACTCGCCGCTCGCAAAGGACTGAGAAATGGCTTCGTCGAGCTGGTGCGCCCGTTCGGTGACAAGATCAACGGCAAGGTGGTGGTGCGAGATAGCACAGGAGCCAGCCGGGCATGGGAGGATTTTGGTGTGCACTTTGCAGACCTTGGCCAACTAGTTCAAGATGGCACGTCAGCGCAGTCTGCGTCGAACTCCACAGACAAGCTAGAAGAATTGATGGAACATTTTGTGGGCGATGGCTTTGACCAGACCGAAGATAGCCTGGGACGAGGCGAGACCTCTCCCTTTTACCGGCTGTTTCTGGCACGACTTCTGGCGTCTCAAACTATGAACTCGCATGAATCCTTCCGCCATCCAGTTGGTGCGGTGATCGCTATCAGTTCTGCCACCAAACAACCCATCGAGACCCTGCGCAATCTCTATCAGCAAACCGCGTCGGGTTCGCGAGCCTTACCTGTTTATGCCAATCCGGAATATCTAAGATATTATGTGCTTGTCCACGATGAGGACCGAGATGATTTCAGCAAGTCGTCTGCGCTGTTTGATCAGATGAAGCGCCATTTCGGCCTGCACTGCCACCTTCTCAGGCTGAGATCCGCGCCATGCACCCAGACCGACGACGACACGGAAGAACTTCCTGCCAGCGAGTGGCTATCTCCTACTGAACAACTCTCTCTCTTACACGACACGGCCGATCTGATCGATCTCGATACCTCAACATCTCCCTATATCTTTTCGTCAGATGCGACGGCGTTGCGCGCATTTGTCCGCGAGCTCATTGCACAATCAATAATCTACCATATGGAGCAAAGGATTGCTCTGTGGAACGATCAAATTGCCTCGCGTCGCCGCGGTATTTCCGGTCGGTTCATGTCACTCTCTAAGAGATGGACCGCAATTGGAAGTTCTTCTCGAAGCTCGTCATCAACCACTAATGTAGGGTCAAGCGGCAATTACGACAGCCTGCAAGGAATATATCGCTATGATGCTCCCGAAAGTCTCTTGCGGAAGCTTGCTGACTACGCATTCATGTTGAGAGATTACAAACTGGCGGGATCAACCTATGAGCTGCTTCGAGGGGACTACTCCAACGATAAAGCGTGGGAACACTTGGCCGGAGCGAACGAAATGTGCTGCGTCGCTACTCTCTTGAACCCGCTCACGAGCAGCGGCAGTTCCAAGTTCAAAATCGAAACCTTCGACAACATGCTCGAGACTGCAAGCTATTCATATTTGACCCGGTGCACTGAGCCAGCACTTGCGTTGCGCTCTATTTTGCTGGGCGTCGAGCTGTTGAAAGTCCGAGGTCGAGCAGCTGGCGAGCTCGCGGCGAAGTGGGCAATTCGCAGCCTCGAACTGGGCCTGGTTGGTAGTATCGGACATGTTTTGGTCAGTGAACGGGTTGCATCTTCTTTTGCAGACCGCATCGGCATCGGCAACACAAGTTGGGGTATGCGTAAGCGGAAAGCTGCACTATGGAATATCATGGCTGCTGACGAATGGATGAAACTCGGCCGAGCCGAGATCGCCGCTGAGCGACTTGATGAAGCACAAGAGTTATATGGTGAGACGAAGAACACGGAATCACACAAGCAGTTTCATGAGCTTGCCGAATACCTAGATCAATTGCGACTGGCTGTGAGGATGAAGCTGGGAGAAGCAAGGAGAAGAGGCTTTAGTGGAGCGACGAGACAGATCGAGCTGGAGGGTCCGGTGGACGCCCAAGCTGACGTGGAAGATGAAACAGTGGAAGAAATGAATGCCCTGGAAAAGGTCGACAGCAAAGGCCACCGAAAAGTTACTCCAGGAGGGGGCCTGGGAACAGGAGCCAGTCCCCTTGAACCCGTTACGCCGTTGAGTCCGGCGCGGCTGAGTAGGGGCGACACATTCCGGCGCGATGACGATTTTGAATGAAGACATTGAATGCACCCGTCCAGCTAGAGGTCCAATCAAGCGTGGAAATCCAGGGCAGCGCAATCTGATTCGATCATCCGGGTATTGAGCGCGAAAAACAACCTGCCAAAATCATACAACAAGGGAGCAAAATATGATTCAAAGGCTTCGAAGGAACGAACAACAATAGCTCGAGAAATTCTCCACTTCTATACGTTAGCCTCAGAATGGATGTTGCGGATGTCGCTGACCCTATACAACCTGCGACGCTGATCTAAAGAGACACACTCCCGGTTGGCCTCTCTCTCTAGACCTGCTGTGTACTGATGTCCAGATCCGAGAGCCTTGCGCATCAGGCCAACGGTTGCCTCACTTGGAGGGGTTTGTTGAAATGTTACATCCGATCTCCACCTCCTTTGGAAGAGTTAGCTCTGAGCAGTGGCCTCGTACCGTCTGCCATCATAATTCAGCCTCGAGATGCTGCTGCTGCATAGACACGGATTTCAATATCTTGGCCTTGGAGCGGGCACTGTTGATCTGTTTCTTCCATGGCAGACTTAACGGTAGGGACAGGATCCCGATGTGGCCGTGCTGTAGAGACTCTCCATCCAGGTTCCGCTGGTCCCCTAAAGAGTGTTCAACACAGGCAATTGTCTGATAGCTACTTATTCTAAGAAGAAGGGGGCTCAGATTCTTTGGGTGAGTGTTAGAATAGATGACGGCAGAGATATTTGGTCAGGTATGGAATAACATTAATTCTTGATAAACTTGACAAAATCTCCATTTTCTGCTACGCGTCACGCGACTCCAACTGCCACTTTACGCGTGACGAAAGAGTGAGAGAAAAAACACGCTAAGCCTGCGACTGCGACCCGCGCCATCCATTCACATCAACCTGGAACATCTGTACAAGCACCAGGAAGTGCTCGGTACTTTCCAGTCTATTGTCGTCAAAGCCCATCGGTGGGCTGACGCACACTGAGGTCTGAGGTTCGGTTTAACGCTCAGGCGACTGCAACATCTCAGCCGATACCGAATTCTTGAGGCCTGTGATGGCAGACCGCGATGACTTCACGGACAGCACAGACTGGTTGCAAACCCCTCTGGCCGCCCTCGCCCCGATCGACGCCTCGCTGCGATGCCAAGTATGCAAGGACTACTTCACAACTCCTGTGATGACTAGTTGTTCCCATACGTTCTGCAGCCTTTGTATACGAAGATGTCTATCTCAGGAAGGAAGATGTCCGGCGTGTCGAGAGGAGGATCAGGAAATCAAGCTGCGGAGAAATTGGGCCGTGGAAGAACTGGTCGCCCATTTCACTGCGTCGCGCAAAGGGCTCCTTACCCTTGCGACAGTGACATTGGCTGCGGAAAGAGAACGAAAAGATGATCTCGAGTCTGAAAGACCAAAGAAGAGACGAAAAGTCGCACCGGAACCGACCGGCAATGGCATTGAACGACGGAGTACTCGAAGCCAGAGTAGGAAGAATGCCTCGGATCCCGCCAGCCAACAGAGCCTCGCGTCCACTCCGGAAATTATAGAAGACAGCGAAGAAGAAGGAAGTGTATACGAAGATCCAGACAGCCACAAGAGCCCACACTTCCTCAGTGGGAATGGCAATCCGGAGCCTCAGGATGGCCTCGTCCAGTGTCCCTGTTGCCACCGGCGCATGAAGGAAACAATCATAAATTCGCATCTGGATAAATGCATACAAGGCGACAGTCACACTCCGGTCGACGATGGCGGATCCGCGTCTTCTCCTGCTCCGCCTCCTAATTCCCGCATCGCGACACCTGGCACAATCGCTTACACCCAGAGGAAACCCTCCAAACAACAGGAGCGGCTGCCATTCATCAACTACTCCCTCCTTGCCGACAACGCGTTACGGAGAAAGTTGCGTGATCTGGGAATTCCGGATCACGGCTCCAAAGACCTCATGCGTAGACGCCACACCGAATGGGTGAATCTGTGGAACGCCAACTGCGATTCCAGTAACCCAGTCACGAAAAGGGAATTGCTCCGTGAGTTGAAGATCTGGGAGGATACGTTAGGACGGCAGCTGGACAGGTCATCAACCACTGGATTCATGGCAAAGGATTTTAACAGAGAGCACCATGTGAAGAGTCAGAAAAGCAATTTTGACGATCTGATACGTCAGGCTAGGGCAAGGAAACCCAAAGTGCCGGAGGAACAGAAATCATCTGCGGCAGAAAACCCAACGTTAGATCCCGTTCCACAACAACTAACAGACCACTCGGCCCCCAAGGACCTTTCTGAAGCTCGCCCAACACCTTCCGTGGGTCCAAATGGAGCTAGGGCAATATCAGTTCCCGAAAGTGCAGTCGATGTACAAGAGCGAATGCGAGCCGGAATTCCACAGGCTCCCACCAACGGTCTAACACAGGAGACTGCGATAGCGATCACATCACCCACTTCATTTGAGACCGCACTAGAACCACGGCTGGACCTCCAGACCCCAGAGAGACCTCCTGGAAGGTACTTTGTGTGAGGGTAATGATGTTCTACGAGGGTATATATAGCAATGACACTTTCAGTCTACTCCAAATAGAAAGAACCTACATAAACTCGAAACATGAGCAATATGAATCAACGTCGAGTTAATTATGACAACGCCACAGCGCCACGATGACTATTAATGAGTGAACAGCACCACGTTTTGAGACCTCCTTGAAGGAATTGGCTCCCCAGAAACTCCATAGCTCAATCCACTCTTCCGGGTTTTATATGGTAATTATCCTCGTGGGCAAAACTAGGATGCTTCTTGGGCGATCTTCTCTGGATGCCCGTCTCTTTGCGTGTCGTCCCCTGTCCGTTCATCGAGTTCTAGTCTCTGCATTTTCTCGATGCTCGACGATAACAGGGCCGCTTCCGACTCTTTGTCTTGGGCGTGGTCTTGTTGCTTGATTTCGAGGTCATCGCCTTGCTCTTGCTTTTGCCTTTCCCTTTCTTTTTGACTCTCCTTTTCCCGCTCTCTGCGCAGCTGCTCGAGGGCATCAAGCTCCTGTAACTTCTGCCTGGTCTTTTCTTCCTCGATCTTCTTCGTCTTCTCGCGCTCCTCTCTCTCCATCGCTTCAAATTCCTCATCCACTTCGTCCTCGTCGAGGACGGCCTTCGAATCCACCGGCTCTGCTAGGACCGTGGAAAATTCGTCAACTTTGCCGACTTCCTCTCTCAAGCTCTCCAGGACGTCCTCTACGCGCTCGACTCCTCCGACGCGCTTGTTGAGCGTCTTTAGCACCGATGCGGACGATTCCATCACAGCGAGGATCTCGACTTGGTCCACGGCGGATTCGATCTTGGTGTAGATCTCTTCCAGCTGATGTAGGGTGTCTAGACGCTGCTGGAGCGCCCGCTCGGCGAGTTTCTTCGAGCGAAGGGCCGATAGGGCGCTGGCCTTGTTGCCGGTTTTCACGGCAGTCGAGGCTTGATCTTGCAGCACCGTGATGCGAGCGGACAGGGTCGCGGACTTTTGGTGGACGTCTTCGATAAGCGATTTCAGAGATGCGATTGACCGATCTTCTTGGGTGATCGGCTCAGGTATGGCTGTAGATGACGGCGGTTTGAATTTGACGGTGCTGCCGTCATACGACAGAACTTGTTTGTCACGGGAGAGGTAGCGGAGCAACACTTCCAGGTCTTGACTCGACAGCGACCCTGTCATCTCACCGGCCTGGTTGAGCACATCGTTAACGTCTTTCAGGAATGTTTCCCGCGTCATGACTCTATCAGTCAGAGTCTGTGCTTTTGTGTCTTTTTCCCTTGCAGCAGACAATCTCTTCCAGACCTCTTCTAACGCTGGAACCAACGCGAGGTTTCCAGCCTTTAACCTGCCGCCGCTCACGTCGAAGCTCCCACTGCTCCACGACATTCCAGCCTTTTGTAAGCCCCAGCGCAGAATGGCCCACGGACTCGGGATCCAACCTCTGGAGTATATGCTCTTCTCTGAGCCGAGAAAGTCTTGTAGATCAATCATCTTCCCCTGCCGTACACATTCGTCCACCACACTCCCGAGCCCGCTGGGCCTACCGTACGTAGGACTCGCCAGCGCATTGAGAAGTTCGTCGCTCGTCTGCAGAATCAAATGGTGTTGACCGTGGGGGATTTGTCCCGCGACTGTGGCGCGCGTCAGGGCAGACGACCAGGCGGTGACATTGGCGGTGTGGCCTTCGGGGTTGGAGGTGCGTTGGAGGCTAAGGTCCGAGTAGAGCGAGGGGAGACGTGTTCTGTTACATATGCAAAGACCCGGGTCAGTAGCATGTCCATGTGCGGCAAATACCCCATTCGCTGATCAGAGATGTGGCGGAGGGAGAGGCGGACTTGCGAAACGAAGGCTCGTGCTCGACTAGCCAGTCGAGGAGAGGAGACATGGCGGTAACATTGTTCTCCTGTCAAGGAAAATGAGGACGAAGAGGACCCCTCTCTCAGAGGGACTTGGAAAACTAAGTCGAAGGGGACCGTTGAAAAGTCGTGAAAACAGATGGCAAAGTATTGACGACCAAGAGAGAATGTTCGTTAGTACGAGGTACACCGCCCTAGCAAAAGTATCCGTCCACCCCACCATTAGGGTTAAGTTTCCTATAGCCGACCTCGCATTGTTTGGGACACGATTTGCAGATGACAGATCGATCTTCTCGAAGAGCTCATGGTTGATAGAAATGCTTCGGGCAGTGCGAAATTCTGTGAAATGCGACTTCTACTATCCAGCTGGACTGATGATGTTGTCCGTATCCATGACGACTTTTCCCGTCGCCTGGACCAATCAACACCCCGAGTTCAGGGAAGGGTGGTTCCAAAGAAGTAGGCTATATGGGTGATTCTTCACTTTTCGCGCCTGGGCTATCCATGTAGGTGTACGGGATTCGCGGGAACGGAAGTTTAGAGTACGACGGAGAAGCGACTTTCCGCTTCTGACACGATAGTGGAACACCAGCTCAGAAGGTTTACTAGATACTGGTTCACCAAAAAGTGGAAATGAAGGTCTGCCGATATTCGTGGACCAGCTTCGCGAGGTCGAGATTTGACTCAAGTGTTCTGTGAGTACACCTTAATATACTTCATCGAGCCTGTCGAATCCCCCACAGTTGCGACGCAGTTCATGATGTTCATGTTTTTAAACGGAATTACTAAAGACGGACTACCCAGGTTATTATAGTCTCTCAATACCCCTGTGCAAGATATCTCTTTCAAAAAAAGAACAAATTCCATGCTGATACCGTTGCCGATTATGAAATGCCCAGGACCTAATCTGCCCACTTTCTCATCATGGATCTTGACAACAACCCTCGACACTTCGTGTTTCCCAGTAGACTTGGCTCACGCATTGGGCTCCGGCTTGTTTCTTTCCGACGCACCCTTGAATATCGTACTCAGATCTCCTGTCGGCAGCCGCAGCGGAAAGTCTACAGCCATGAGAATCATTGTGAAAAATAGATACCATCCGAATACACAGAAGACAAATATAAAGGCTCCGGCAGCCTTGTCGCATCTGTTAGAATTTTCTTCTTAAGACGAACAACATATCGACCAGGGAGAAAAGGCAGGGTTCACTAGTAGCAAAAAAAGCTTGTGATTGAACTGATGTGACAAAATTCGAAAAAGCGGACTGACTTGCCTTTTGACACTTTTCAGAGACCCCCGTTTTACCTTCGGCGGCGGACCAGTATGTAGCCATCAACATAATGAAAGCAAGATCGATGAAGAGGAAGACCAGGACGAATACGACATTAGTCCGGAGAGAGCCGATGAGGAAGAAGAAGGTGACAAGGGCCATCACCATCCAGAAGAACGCTAGGGACATAGATAGTATCGTTAGTAAGTTTATACGTGTCTTTCAGCGGGAAAGATGAGCATACTCACAGAAACTCGAGTAAAACTGTGCAGTTCCTCCGGGCTGTGAGGTGTAATAGGCTTGTGCGTTGAACGCGGGCTGGAGCGTTACTCCCATCGCCAGCCAAAACGCACCTGTAAGCCCAGGCCGTCAGTCTTGTGCTGGAACAAGACCTCTTGAAATAGTCATCCAGCGGTAGTAGTTACCTACCGTAGCAAGCGAAGACAACGAATGGAAAGGTATTGCCGATGATCCATTCCAAGATACATCCAAGGATTTGGAGCATTCCACCAAAGAAGAAAAAGAGTCCTCTACCGACAAAGTCGTGGTCAGCATAAGTGAGGAACGGGGGGAGGGCAAGTGATCGTAAATAAAGCATATTCATACTTACATTATGGCTGCTCCATCGCCGCCGGAACCTCGCCAGCCCATCAGATTACATCCTAACGGCATAGACGCGATCAAGAAACCCATCAATGGCCTTTGATTATTCGTTAGTGGATATAAAGCTGATCGCTTCATGTATAACTGACATAGGCGTTGGGTTTCCAAACGTGCTGCGTAGGTGTCCGAGTCTCTGTGTATATGGAGAGAGGTACATTGACTCGAAGACGTCTCTGGGAATAACCACGCTCGAAGCTGTCTGGTAACGAGTCAAATACTCATTTTGCATGTCAGTCGCTTTACTCCCTTCCGGTAATGCGTCTCCATTTTGGTTGTTGTTGTTGGCAGCGTCAGTAAACCCTTGCTCATCTGTCGCCATGTTGTTCGAGTAATGATACTGAAGTAATGCCACGTCGTTCAGAAGGACTGCGCGAGCTGCAAAGAAGGTTGAGAGGTACCATTTCAAAAGCGTGCTGCAAGTAGTCTAGAGCCATCTATATATTTGCTGCCGGGTTGACTCGACCCTCTCCATTTCTCTAATTGAAAAGGAGTGGCCTGTCTGTTTTCGGTCGTCCCTGTCGTCTTGGGTCAATGATCAACCACCTGCCTCTGGACCAGTCAATCAGCGGAGAAAGCCAAAAGCTGCCCTTTTCTCCAGACTAGCAACACCGACAGATGTCGCCTCCGGGACTTGTTCGACCTTTCCCGTCCCAACCGCGACACCCACTTCTGGAAATACAGACCCCTGTTAGCCTTAGCCGTATCTAGTCGAGACCCCAGAAACTTTGTGAACTTGTCCATATCGGCTGAACCCGTTCTTCCGACAGCACAAAAGATGAGGTAGAATATCAAGAGATGGAGGTGATCTTTGACATTCCCACGCACGTACTACCGCCGCGTCATACTTCTTCTACTCTAGAATCTACCATACATCTAGGACCAACTGTGATCCAGATGACGAATAGACCGGGACAAACGTGAAGACGAGGAGCTACCTCATGGCCAACGAGTCAACTGCCGACTCTTTTGAAGGCGCCCACAATCAAGGCACTGAGTAATATTGCAATCGGTGATCCTAGGATCAGGTCCATTCATAGAGCCGCCAAGACTACGAGCCATCTTCGGTGGAAAGGGGGCAGCTGTTCCATTGAGACACACTTTCTGTCAAGCAGTGTAACAAGGCGGTGGAATTTCCGAAACGCAATCGCCATCGCCACCTGGTTCTGCAATGATAGCTTGTAGAACTTCTCTTGTATGATCTCCGGTACCACTTGTACTTGCACGATAATCTTGCCACTGAATCCCGCTCAGGTAGCACCCGTACTCATCATCTTCCTCTATGCCTTCGCTCAATCGTCTTTCAAGCTCTCTTTCAGACTGAGCAACCACCTGGAGAGGAACGTCGCGTAAAGTGAACTTGTGCTTCTTCTTTCCGTATTTCATGCGAAAAGAAATCTCGAGGCTGTGAAAGCGAGCAATATTGTAGGTTGAAAAATCTGCAGTCAGTAGATCGGGAGGAAGGGACATATCGGTGGCGTCGCAGAGGTTGGCCGATGAGGTCGGAGTGCTAGTGGTTGTTTGAGTTGCAGATGGCTCACCGTGGGAGACAGGCACTTTAACCGATCCTCTTCGAATGAAAACGCGCTGGGAAGATGAGCTGGTATGAGACCCGGCTCGTACCTGTGTATGCCGCACTAGTGCGAGCTTGAAAGAGCACACAACAGCGTTCGGACATGGTTCGTCTGTCAATGGCGATAGCTCTTGACCTACTGTAGAGCGGCCCATCGTGCAGGAAATTGGGACGAAGAGCGCTTGCTGTTCTTTGATTTCCACTTTCTTTGGCAACCAGACAGAAAAGAAAAGCTTCGCTTCGGATGCCGAATGTGCACTTGCTCTGGGAAGAATCGGGATCAGGCGGTAGATAGACTGAGATGGAGAACGCCCAGGGGCACAGCACATCGTGTGACGATGAACACTATACGGCCAGTCGTCCCCAGGCCGTGTGCGGCAAGTCATATCCAGGCTCTGAACAGATATCGATCGAGTTGCTTGCAGTGTAGCCCCCTTCCTTTTGAGGTGGTTGGCGGCTGGAGGTCGGTACACGAGTGTCGCTTCGAGGACATATTGTATAGAGCAAATAAACTTGCCGCTTTGCTTCATACTAGGAGGCAGAGGGTGGGCAACCCGTGCAAGATCACCCTTCCAGGGGCGCATTGGATAGAATGAGTCTGTCGTCCCCGGTGCCACAGCTCGAGGTGCCGCAAACAGTGGAATCCGAAAAGCAAAGGGCCAAGAGTAAGTCCCTTTATCTTCAACACTCTCACCACTGTGTAGACTAATATGCCGGCTGAAGAGGTAGCTCTCCGATGTATAGTCTGTTCTGGAGACAACCATGTCGCTATAGTATTGATTGAGAAAGACTTTCGTTCGGCCTTTGAAGTCGATATTCAGGGATTCGATGATTCGTTCTTCGTAGGTAGTGAGCTTGACTACGCCCAGAACCATGGATCCAGGTGTCAATGGCTTCTCTTCATCATAGGAAAATTTGATGGAAAGAGCCATGGGAGAGTTACAATGAGTCAACAACTTTTAGTAGTCCAGCGTTTCTCGATATGTCTGCACTGTCCTGGGCAGATCATCAACAAGTTTCCAATACCTTGTAATAGCTTCATATATCATTGCGCGATTTGTGGGTACTGTATCAATCTACGTGAAGCAATAATTGGACGTAGTCTGTTCAGGTGACACCCCGTTATGGTGAAAGACACAGTGTTTGCCAGCCCATGGTCCAAATGGAGCCCGCACAAACAAGTGACCTTACTCCCCGCTTCCCCACATTTATGAAAGAGCTAACTCCCCTTTCACCTAGCCTGTGCCGCCCGGCCCGTACGGAACAAAAGTCTGACTTCTCTCGCGGACTTTAGGCTATGCCCAAATTGGAGATCCCGTCACACAGTGCGACATGTGCACAAGGGTATTAACACGACCGTTCAGGGGAGGATAGTTGGTACAATGACTTCCCACTATCGTTGGTTCAGAGACAAAGTGCTCCCTAACTAGGTTGACTGCCTAAACAGCATTGTCATTCTTCGGTTTTAATGGATCAGCTCCATGCGCCTTCATATCGTCTTCATTCACTTTCTGGCTACGGAGTTCCTTGGGTGTTTCCACCGGGCGTAGCTACCACGTATTCCCTCTTCGCCTTTCCAAGTGGTGGAATAAGCTTCCGCAAATCAGGTTTCGAAGATGGCTGGGACTCAGTGTTTTGCTTCACTCCTCCTTCGAGCCCGCTTTCAGGTTGATGTGCACCGTCACTCAATGAGCGTTTACGGAGGATGCCTTTAGGGTGCAGCAAAGACTTGCGATGCGCCGACTTGTTCGCGCCGTCGTCCTGCATCTGACGGTTTTTGGGCAATGCTTTTGGCTCCGGTTGATGCGCATTCGTCGAGTTCTGTCCTTGATCTACAGCTGAAGCTGGGCTTTCATCGCTGCGATCTATTGTGATATTCTGAGGCGCTGTATGTGGATCGGCGACTTGTGCAACCTCCTCTGCTGGTCCATGTATCTGAGATCAATTTAGCTTCTTGTTCTCGAAACGTTCGATTTGCTCAGCTTCTGCGATGAATCTGAAACGACATACTAACCCCAGGTTTCAAGCTTCTGCGGTGGAGGATTTTGTCAAGCATCTTTCACTGATATCGGGGCGATCTTGCCTTGTGATGAGGACCAGAACGGTCAATCTTGGTGACCTGTATAGGAGACAACAGGGCAGACTCGGCCTTACATTATGAGTAGTGCTGCTAGTCTATCATCTAATTGAAGCGCTGGCCAGCAGAAGACAACGGTGGGCGGCTCTGACGGCTGGTGCTGTTCCGGGCAGATAATGCGAACGTCACTCTTTCTAGCCACTTTCTGATGGAAATTGGAAAATCCATAGCTTGAGGATGGTAAAAGCAGAATGCGTGCCCCAGTACCATGCGGGTAGTGCTCCACAAGATTTAATCAAAATTCAATATCATGTGAGATCGCCATATCTGTAACGTAGTCTTTCACAAATCTACATTATCATCAGACACTCACGTCAACAATATAGGTATCAGTGAGTTTCAAACAATACTGGACCGTTCTGCCCGGTCGATCCGAGGTAAACTGTTATGTCGCCTGGCAACAAGGCTTTTCACCGAATACTGCACCACTAACAGTAGTGTCTCGAAGACGACGTCCAAATGTGATCCATTTCATTGAAGTCTGAGCAACCTTCGGACGATCAATCTGAATCACCAGAGCAGGTGTTACATCATGCAGTCGCGTCTATATATCCGTCTCCCTCTTCTTCAGAGACCAGAGGATTTAACAGCACTGAAGCTATTAAGACCATGAAATTCATCACAAGTCAGTTCAAGATATAAGCATCAAGATGCAGCAGACCAGTCGAAACGGGGAGAGACAGCCTATGCAAAAGAGAACACAGAGGACTCCTCATAGCATCAAGTTCCAGAGGGACTATCGAGCTGATCTGCCACTCATTGTTTCCCGGTTCACAGGTTATCGACCGCCAAACGCTGAGCCTCCATATGAGCCTTTGCCATTTCCGCCATTCTCATGGTTGGAGAAAATCCCACTCCGGCTTGAAGTCTGGTTTTTTGGTTGGATTGGCGCTTTCGGCGGCATCCTTCTCATCGAGGCAATCATGTCAACCAGCACCGCTTTTCGCGACATCTATCACACACCTACTATCATCACGTCATTTGGTGCGTCTGCCGTTCTCCTTTTTGGGGTCATCGAGTCTCCGGTAGCCCAACCACGAAATTTTGTCTTGGGTCACTTCATCTCGGCTCTGGTAGGAACCGCAATTACCAGGTTGTGGGTCTTGAACGCGAGTTATCAGGGATACCTGGAGAACACCCATTTTCACCCTTCGACTTTTATCAACGGAGGACTGTCCATGGCAACTTCACTCCTCGCCATGCTGATCACGGGAACGGCTCATCCTCCGTAAGTGGTTTCTGAAGAGGTACCAAACGACACATATTAAATGTTGCGCAGCGCCGGTGCTACGGGTCTCAATGCGGCGGTTCAATCGGATGTGGTAACGCTATCGTGGCGATACTTGCCCACTGTTCTTGCCTCATCCCTCATTATGCTTGGATGGGCTGTAATCATCAATAATGTCGGGCGTCGTCGTTATCCGCTTCATTGGTGGGCCCCTGGTGCAACATTCGTTCATGCTGAAGAAGATTCAGCGCTGGAAAAGGCGGAAGAAGGAGAGATTGAACGTGAAGAGATGGAGGAGGGTGAACTCGAGCGAGAAAGTACTGCTGCAAGTGAAGGGCTGCCTCGGGATGGTGAAAAGCATGGAGAGATCATGCACCGGCCTTCCTCGAGAAGGATGAGGCGTGCAAGCATTGAGGCAGAGCCAGCGTCTTTGGAAAGTGCGGTGGATGCAAGTCCGGGAGAGTTTTCGAACCGTCGGCTGAGTTCCAGTCGGGAGCGGTATCGGTTGGACTAGAGATTCAATTGGAAGAAACAAGCTTGACCGGAATGATTCGACTGCTGATGGTGTTATCGTTAGGGAGTCCGTATTAAGAGGCACAGAGTTCTATCTTGAGGTCTTGTAGGACGTGGGGCTCATAAAGCATTAACAAGTTCTACCGGCTGTGGGCTGCTGCAGTCGTCAAACAACGCGTCCGTTAACCGTAGACGCTTCGCGCACCCCGTTGACAACGAGGTGGACAGGTATAAATGTCACCACGGCACAGACGCTCGCTAGACATGGAAGGGGCTGCTTTGATTCAGCCAAATTGGCGATGCAGGTTTATCTATATCTCATCCGGATTCAAAGTAACCATCTGTAACAATCAAGTATCAATATCCTGCGAGGTTGCGAAGAATTCTGAGAAATATGTTTGTCCTGCAGTGCCAAGGCGTTTTCTGATGGAAACCAAACACGTGATGTTTGTGTTGTTCCTACCCTCTCACGCCATAGTCTTGCGTGCTCGACCCATTTCAAGTCATTGTCCCAGAGCTTGAGGCACGGTGGTGTTCAGAGGAGAGGCGACGAAGTTCCTGCGACTGTCGGTTCATCTCCCGAGTAAGATCTTTCGCGAGCGCGAGATTCTCTTCGAGGGTGTGATGGCGAACAAGAATATCTTCTTCTCCATCCTCAGCATCAATGTCTTCACCCTGTGAACTTCGTTCAATGTTTTCCTCCAGAGTGTGGTGGCGATAGACTTCAGAATCGCGGCGATTCTCAATAGGCGGAGGCATTGCGAGTTCACTTAGGCTTCCAAGAGTGTCGGACTGGCGCTGATGTTTCGATGGCTGAGAAGATCGGTCCAGTTTGAAAAAGGCACGGATTTTCTTCCACATGATTTTCCTTGCGTCATTTCCTTGTTGAAAAATGTTCTTTGTTAACAACTGAAATTCTCGAACGGAAGATATCTTGCCTAGACTATAACCACGGCTGGTGTCTCGACTTTGCTCGCCTTCAATAAGAAAACCTTCTCACCTGACTGGGAAACCTTCTCACACGGTGAGCGCATGAGACTAACTTACATTTCCGCGCGGTCCGGGTGGACAGGCCCGGCAGATGAAGTCCCCTAACTTGTAACTTCCTGTGACGCCACTTCTCTCTACCTAGGCATGGCATACAAGATCGGTCGAAAGAGAACTTCGGCATACTCTATCACTCAGCTTTTGGCTGCTAACCTTGTACTATATCAATCAATATGCGTAAGCTACAATTGGATGGTTATACTCTCAGCGCGGTGGGCGCTCCTGACTCTCTGGAGTATCGGTTATATTTCTCGAGCAATGGATCACCCGTTTCGATTTGGCACGACGTACCGTTGTACGGTGATGGTGACAAGCAGAGCTTGAACATGGTGGTAGAAATACCTCGGTGGTCCAACGCGAAGTTCGAGGTATGTATTAGAGAAAAATTGCTGGCCCGGGAAAGATCACGGATATGTAGATGGGCCACTGACAGTAATGCCGACAGATTTCTCGGAATGAGGCATTCAACCCGATAAAACAGGACATCAGGGAGGGCAGAGCCCGCTTTGTACGAAATGTGTTTCCTTACAAAGGCTACATCTGGAACTATGGTGCTCTTCCAGGAGTAAGTACCGGGTCGTCCAGTGCACCGTTGCCAGAGCTCGCACCATTGACTCGTCCAGACCTGGGAAGACCCCTCCCACATACATCCAGACACCAAGCACCCAGGCGATAACGATCCTCTTGATGCTCTTGAAATCGGCGAGGAAATTGCTTATACCGGTCAGATCAAGCGTGTAAAGGTTCTTGGAGTAATGGCTCTCCTAGACGAAGGTGCAACAGACTGGAAGGTCATCGTTATCGATATCAACGATCCTTGCGCCAGAAAGGTAAACGGCATCGCAGATATACAACAACATTTTCCGGGTCTCCTGGATGCGACCCGAGACTGGTTCAAGTTATACAAGGTTCCCGACGGCAAAGAGCCCAATAAAGTCGCCTTGAATGGAGAATTTAGAGATCGAAAGTGAGTTTCTTCCTGTTAACACGTTAAAGAACCCTTTGTTCTACCGAGCCCGTGCATGCCACAAACGCACAAAGGTATCTGACGAGATCCCTAGTTACGCCATGTCAATAGTCCAGGAATGCCAAAAGGCATGGGAAAGCCTGATTGATGGCAAGACATCTCCAGGGGAAATAAGTCTTGTCAGGGGAGACGAAAGCCACAGATTGTCGGGTTTCGCCAATCCCGTAGGAGACGATGAACATCGATCGACGGACGGGAATTTGGATAAATGGTTCTTCGTAAAGATGTAAATTGCGTATATCAGCTCAAGTTCCTCTTGGCCACATATTCCATGCCGGCTTCTATGAACGCTGCCCAGAAAAAAATGCATAACATCCTGAATCTACCAAAGATATGATGACGGTTGAGTATGTACTCAGCAAGTTCTGGACTCGGCTGACATTAAAGTTTGTGGGAAAAATCATGCCAACTTAGCCTGGGAATAGGCATAGCGAAACGACTCTCCAGCGTAGGAAGAGTCAACTTTCCGTGCCTGCAATTCCTCTTCGATATCCATTAGCCGGTTGTACTTGGCCACCCTCTCACCACGACAGGGTGCACCGGCTTTCAAATGGCCACAGCCGATGCCCACTGCAAGATCTGCGATAAAGTCGTCTGTTGTTTCCCCGGAGCGATGAGACACGAAGACGGCCCAGCCAAGTTCGTACGCCCGTTGTGTCGCTGCGAGAGATTCACTGACTGTGCCGATCTGGTTGACCTTTAAGAGCAGGGAGTCGCATGCGTCAGCTTCTGCTGCTTTCTCGATTCGTACGAGGTTGGTCGCTAAGAGGTCGTCGCCCACCAACTCAATATTGTCAATCTTTGAAACCACGTGAAAACGTTTCCATGACTCCCAATCGTCCTGCGCAAAAGGGTCTTCCAGCAAGACGATTGGATACTTGTCGACGAGACTCCTGTACAGATCTGTCAGTTCCGTGCTGCTGAGTCTGTTTGGCTTGTTGGACCTGAAGCCCAAGTCGTAGTGTCCATCGCCGAAGAATTCCGACGAGGCCGGATCAATGCCGATGTTGAACTTCCCTTCATGTCCTGCGCCCTTGATGGCGGACATTATTAGATCCAATGCTTCGGTAGGTTCAGTTATGGGCGGCGCGAAACCCCCTTCATCGCCAATGCCAATAGCTGCTTTCCCGAACTTTTCGATGATAATTGATCTCAATGTCTGATACACCTCGCTCGCCCATTGGATGCCCTGAGTGATGGAGGTAGCACCAGTCGGCGCGATCATGAATTCTTGAAATGCCATTGTATTCCCCGAGTGAACGCCACCATTGAGAACGTTGAAGAAAGGCACCGGAACAATGTGATGCTTGGGTGATGATTGAAGCTCGCTGGCCAGAAAGTCATACAATGGCATTTCCTAGCCAATGACTCGTCAGCAGTCCGTTTGATTACTTCGAATCCTGCGGGCTCACCTTCGCAGCTGCACATGCCCTGGCACAAGCCATGCTGACACCGAGAATAGCATTTGCTCCCAGGGCACTCTTATCCGAGGAGCCGTCCAGCTTGATCATGAAGCTGTCGATCTCTTTCAACCCTATTTCCAGATCATACTGCTTTTCGAGAAGCGCAGGACCGATAGTCTCTCGCACGTTTCGGACGGCTTGCTGGACTCCAGCTCCTCCGTATGCCTCACCCCCGTCACGCAGCTCGATCGCCTCATAGTCTCCTTTGGATGCGCCCGACGGCACAATAGCGCGGAATTTTCCGTCTTTTGTTTCCACCTCGACTTGCACAGTGGGCTTGCCCCGCGAGTCGAGACGTTGAAACGCTTTCACAGATGTCAATATGGTCGGCATCTTCGAAGCGATAAACACACGCGTAATCACGAGAGACTGCAGATTTTCAATGCTCTTTGTCTGCGCGTTAGCAGTTCCATTTAGATTGATCAAAGAACATAGAAGCATCGGATATATATAACGTAGCGCGTTACCTCACCTGAGGGCGATGTCCTCGTATTGTCAGGGTCTAATAGGCAAGCACGGTACGGCCGGGATAGTAGTCCGATTTTCTTCCCGTGGAGTGGGCTGATCTTGACTCCCCATCACCATCTTAAAAGAACGATTGTGCGAATGATTGGGCGCACGAATCTCATAGGTGAAGTGGCCCGCAAGATGTGACCCAAGGATAAGCATATGCCAACCCCTCTTGAGCATAAGACGGGCGCAAAGAAACTAAAATTGTTCCAATTCGAACTATTTACCTTTGTCACACGACAAGAACACGTCTTCCATTTTTCAACACCACACAATATCCCAGATCTAAGTCTCCGAAGGCTGTAGGAAGGGGTTGTAAGCTGCATTCACAAATTGTGCCGACCCTGCCAACGCGTAAAGCGTGTTAGCTTGAAGTACCTGCGAGTGGAAGGCTACGCAGGGATCGAAAGAATGACAACTCGATAGGGATTGATTTCTTTCTAAGTGGAATGCCTCTGTCGCCGTCGGGGAAATTTGCAGAGAATCACTTACACATTACCGGCTCTGAGACTTCGTAGGGCATGGTCTGGAACATGAGGTTGAAAGACTCTTGACTTAGTCCCATAGAGTCAAGCTGTGACGGCATTGTGGCCTGGAAGAGATCGTCGGATGGTAGTGTATCTGATATATTATCGGTCCCATTCTCTGTTGTAGGGACAGCCCCGAATGCAACACATTTCATCGTCCCCCCTAAGACGAGCAAGCCGTTAGTTAGAACAAGATTCTGTAGGAGCATAAAGGGTAGACTCTGAGCATGATGAATACAGGGCTCCCTGACGCAGAAGCCGCGGGATTAAGTCAGAGACAAACACGGATGCCTCGTCACCACGACGAGAATGCAACGGTAGGCAGCAAGGGCACAGCTGCTCGTTGTCGGGATGGATGTAGTACTCGCCTTTTGAGATCGTCCTTGTTTTCTTGAGCCTTTGCATCATGTCGCTCGCCAGTCTTGCTGCATTTGAGTTGGAGCTGAGAGCTTGACAGACTTTTAGGCAAACTTCGGCATCTTCGTCCACCGCTGCCCAGTCTATGTCTCTGAAGACTTCTTTGTCTGAATCCAGATCCACGCAAATGCTTGCAACAAGAAGGATTGAACTGGCACAAATGAGACATGATATCATCTGCCACCAGGGAAAGCCATAAACGAGGCTCTTCTTGTCGTCGAGATTATGGAGTAGTTTTGCAGTGTGTTGCGCAGCAACGATGCACTTTCTTTGAGACATTGAGATGCGGCCGCCTTCTGCTTGATAAAATACCACAGGGTTGGGAACCGTTCCCAGTAATTTGGCCGGTGATAATAGGGGCCGGTGAATCAGCGCTTGAAGGTTGTAGAACTTTACAGCAAGCATATTTCGCTGGTCTTCGTATCAATAAAACAGACTGTTCGACTTCGTACATGGATACATACCTGTCTTTTGTAAACGATCGACTTTTCAAATGTGTGAGACAGATCGAATCTCAAATTTCGCCGCAAGTTGGATCGCCATTGAGACAATTCGTCATCTAAACGATCGATGTGTGACAGGATCAAAACGGGGTCCTCGGCTCTTCTTGGTCCGTACAGACTCTCGAATACTCTTCCAATTATTTCCGAGAACTTGATCATTTCAATAAAGTAGTCTCCCACCCAGTCTGTCCCGTGCGTGCCATGCTGACTACTTGGGCTGGCTAAGTCGACGTCCGACTGTTGAGATGGAAGTTGTACATCGAAGCCTTCCTCGCTAATAGCTGGAGGACGCCCCAATTGCAACGCCAGGAGACGATCCAGCACAAATATGGAGTACCAAACTCGACGACACATTTCTTGTGGCGCCAGGTCATTTCCACCACCTGTGCGATGAGCATCTTCAACGTGGAGACCAATGCTTTGGGCAATTCGGACAGCCGAACCCAGTGTTGTCCAACATCGGTCGGTCTGACAAGTGGCCAGCAGATAGAAACATTGAGCGAGGAGAGCACAAACATGGTCGACCGTATGGTGCGAGCTATAGTTTTGCGCAATAGCTATCGCTCGGTCGAAATGACGTTGATGCTGACAAGACGTCTGCGGATTGGAAGTTCCCCCTTCGGCTTCGGCGATCCCCGTATAACAGGAACCGATGGCGAAGATGGTCACTAAGGAAAAGTTAGTGTTCTTTAATTGAAGCCATCTACAGGTTCAAAAAGATTGCACAATCGAGGATTCTGAGATACGGCCAAGACGTTTTAGGTACACTGGCGACCAGCACCTGCATATTTGTTTCGGGGGAGCCGCGCAAAGACGGATGTCATACAAGAAATCTTCGGAAGTATTTGGCGATCCTTCTTAGAAATGCACTTACACAGCAAAGATAGCCAGGGGCCCCGGAACCCCTCCAGTGAGTCTGATCGCCAGAAAGATTCGTACGTTCGCCTGAAGTCTGGTTGCGAGATGAAGGGATAAGCAATATGGATAGTAGAGAAGTATATGTCGACGAAACTGTCCGCAATGGCCCGAGGCGGCAAGGACCCCTGATTCTGCTCCAAAGGCTGCTGGCGAGGGCCTTCTTGTTCATAGCTCTCGACTCGCGCCTCGGGATTATCTTCTTGCTGGACAAATTCGGTTTGCTCGCAAAGGGCCGATTCCATAGCATGGAAAAAGCGAATGTCACTGGCCTCACCTAAGTACCGTCGGAAGGCCGTGGGGTGGCAATCACCAGCCACATCCTGCTCTGGCGACGGTGGGACACTTGTGGCATCATTTCCAGTCTGCTTTGCTAAGTAGTTGGGAAGCTGAATTGATGCAAGTCGCAAGTCGACCACTTTGCACTCGTCCCGAGACAGGTTTTTGCGCAGGTATGCAATCAAGCTTTCGTATATGGCAATTGCATCTCTTACTTTTCGGCCGTCAGTCTCCATAGAGAGCTGATTCAGATTCGCATCATGGCCATCGGAGCCAGACTTTCGAATCCTACCCTCATTCCAGCGACAGGCATATCCATAGCCCGCGCAGCGTCCACAAGTCGGATGGTTGCCATCGCACTTTAAGGCGAACATATCAGCTCCAGCCCTCCAAGATAACAAACAGCATCGTACAACATCAGGCATGGCTTTACCTTTGCTTTCAGGGTGCGGCAACTGTCGCAAGCGCGTGAGACGCGTCGTCGCTTCAGAGACGAAATTGTAGCCATCTGTTGGGACACTTCCGTTGTCGGAACATTGGATGCGGCGGGAATTCGTTCGGGTTATGGAGTGGCACCAAAGCCGGGTACATAAACATAACACTTTGTTTCGAATCAATCCGGATGACGTCATGGGCCGCCAATTCTCATCGACCCTGGGTGGTCATGGTGGGTGATTGTGTTTTCGTGTCCGGAAGCAGCGGTAACGACGAACCCGAAGTAAGATACACATCTGTTGTCTCAGGCTCATTTATTCAGCGCGTCGCTTAACTTCAGTCGGGTCCTCCATGGACTGCCGAGGAATTTGGCTTCGACCATCAACAGCTTACATTCTAGCGAGTGGTAACGAAGTTACCCCTGCCTCTGCGATACAATACATGGATCTTCCTCGAGCCGGTTTTAGTCTACTGCTGCCAACACTACTGGTTGATCGTAAGATGGGCATTAAATACCCATATATGAGCGGATCTTCACCTTCTGAAAAAAGCGAGGTGCGACAGCTTGGACGTGACGAGAGCCCATGCTCTACGGAGTACTGTTAGTCATTGGAGGCAACGACTAGTTGAGGTGTTTTGAGGTACATCCCAGAAGCATTATTGGGTGTCCCGTCTCGTGAAGTCCTCGGTGCCTTTCGTGGTACATTAGCCAAAGGCAATAATTAATCATGCTTCAACTTAGACCACTTTTTCTGTGGGGAGCAGTGGAGGCCCCACAACGTCTTCAGGAACACACGCATAAGCCGGAACAGGCGGAAAGAGACCTTGAGAACGGTCAGCCAGCAGGTGACGATGTCGACGCTATCAACGCATGGGATCCCAACAAGGACGAGGGCGAATACGCCAATCCCATTCGATACATCTCGACCTAGCGGGACGGTCGGTTCTCCCAAGCTCAGTCACAGGTGTTAACAGGTATGGCCGCTCGCCCCAGGGATAGACAAGCACCGTTCTACAAACGATGGTTCACTAACAAAAATGGGCAAGGATATATATTGAAGCTCAATGCTACAGTCGGTTGGTACCAAGAAAAGCAGGCGGCCGATGTGGTGGCGAGTCTGACACAACTCTCGAAAGCTACCGCCGAGTGGAGTGGACCGCAGAAGTGGTTCAAGTATTCCCTGATAGTGTTTGGCAAATGATTTTGCGTTACGGATGACAGAGATGCTGCCTCTACGATGGATATAAGTAGGTAACGTTGTCGCTGTTTGAGTGCTGGAACCTCATTCAAATGTACAATGGAACAAAAGACCTTGAAATGGCCAGATAGGTGAAGATCTACGTAATTGCACGAGCTGATCATTTTCTGCATCTTTCAAGCGTGAATAAGCTTGGGACACAGATGAAGTTAAGCAAGTGCGTTAAGTTGTCGTGTCCTCATTGTTCAGGGGAGAAGAGGATCAGGTAGCGTGTTAGTCTTCAGCTCGTATTATACATACTGAACGCAGGATTCTGAGCCGAGGGCCGCTTGACATGAGTCTATAGCGGAGAACGCCTGATCTACTATTCAGCTCCCGTGGGTCAGTGATAACCTTGAAGCGTTGACACAAGCAAGAAGGAACGGAAGGAGAGGTAGCGCAGTTCATTCTTGAACATTATGCTGTGTTCCAATAACCCTCGCGACTTTGAGGCTCTGAGCGAGATTATTAGACACTGGGTGCATTCTTGGTTTCCAGGTATTTTCAGAAAATTGGACTCTCCCAAAGCCTCAAAATCTGTTTAGAACAGTGCCACTGGTGAGAGGGAGATGGAAAGCTGGGAATTGCTTCTTTCCGTGTTTCCCGCTGGACCCGTGACATGGTGAATCGGAGATCGGATAGGGGGAGATAGCGTGTAGCTAATAAAGCCAGATCGTGGCGTCAAGCCTTATGACGACTCTTGTCTCGCTGCCATCTGCATCTGTCTCTGTTGCCAGAACAAAGTGTGCCATGCCTCTGCCAGGCCATGTTTCAACCACTCGTACCCGAGGTGGTCGACCCGGCCATGATATGTGCAGCCGTTTAGAAGAGCAGCAGTTAGTGTCGGGTCAAAACCCACGGTCGCAGGCAGATGGCGATGATGTTGTGTTGTCGGAACTGACTATCCCTCAACCTGTGGAACAAGCCGGAGACATGAGCCGCGAGGCTTTCGAAACAGGCGAACAGATGGCGCACAGGCACCCAGTAGCCCACTGGAACCTCGGAGAGAATGGAGAATTGACGGAGCTTGCGATACCTGCACCTATCCCTAGCCGAACCCGCGCAGACGAGCAGGATTTCAATCTGGGGTCGACAGATGACTCGCGATTCTCAGATTCCTCAACCTCGCAAGTGTCATCAACGCGACCGCAAGAGGAAAAGCCCTCGAGGCAGTCAAAAACGGTTATAGCATACACGGAACTCTGTGCAATTAGTTGGATGATCTTCTTTTCTATGCTAGGAACGCTGGCTCGCCTCGGGGTTCAGGCTATATCGGTATATCCTTATACGATCTTTCCATCTCCTGTCCTTTGGGCCAATCTTGGGGGTTCCCTTTTTCTGGGTCTTTTGCTGGAGGATCGATCTCTGTTCCGGTATGCTGTCAAGGTCGACACTGATTCCGAAACATTTCACAACGAGGTGGACAAGGTGAAAAAGACTCTGCCCTTATACATTGGATTGGCAACTGGGTTTTGCGGCAGCTTCACGTCCTTTTCAACGTTCATCACCGATGCAGTCTTCGCCCTCACAAATCAGCTGCCACCATCCGCAGCAACATCGCCATTCCACAGTGTACCCCAGGAGCAGATGCATTCACGCTCAGGTGGATATTCTTTCATGGCCCTGGTAGGGATCCTGATCATACAGAGCGCTGTCAGCTTGGCAGCCCTTAAATCCGGTGCCCATTTGGCCGTGGCTCTCCAGACGATAATACCATCACTTCCCACCACCATTCTCCACCGAATTCTTGACCCAATCTCGATCCCACTGGGCTGGGGATGTTGGCTGGGTGCCGTTGTGATCTGCATCTGGCCTCCAGAGGACGAATGGCGTTATCAAGTGTTATTCGCCATTGTACTTGCCCCCCCTGGCACTTTGCTTCGATTCTATCTGTCTAAAACCCTCAACGGCCGCATAACAGGATTTCCATTGGGGACCTTCGTTGCCAATATCTTTGGGACGATCATCGAAGCCATGTGTATGGACCTGCAACATGCCAGCTCAATCATGGCGGACATTTCCGACTTCAATTCCGCACCATGTGCGGTCCTACAGGGCGTCATGCTCGGTTTCTGTGGCTGTGTCACCACCGTCAGCACTTGGGTGGGCGAGTTGAATAGTTTACAAAGGAAGCATGCCTGGATATACGGCATCATCAGCATTGGTGTCGCGCTGGCCTTTCAGATCGTGATTATGGGCACCATGATTTGGACGGTAGGCTATACCCAACACTGCTCATCGAGAACAATAGCCTGAGGAAAGCCGGAGGGACTTTTTTTACCCCTTCATCCAACATAAAGTTAGTAGGCTGAAGCTTTTCTGATGTTTGAGTTCGCCAGTCATAGAGTAAACGGCGATCAAGGCGGCAGCGTCTGCAATTGACGTTCACAGCAGTTTTCTAGATATCAAAAGTCTGAAACGATAAAATAACTAGATACGGAGACATTAGTCGCGTCCTGAACGATCTGCTATTAAGTCCTCGTTACGGCACTCTTGAAAAATTAAAATGAAACATTCTCTCTTCCGATACTGACCGTGATCATGAACTACGGTCTGGGGAAGTCCAATTGTCATTGCTTCGGTCGTGACCAAAGCAACCACCTGCAACAGACTCGGTACTTTGTTCCAGCCGTAATGCGTGAAACCAGATCAGAACAACGGAGAAGTGGGCCACCAGTGAAAGCGCAATCTTCTGGGTATCTTGAATGCTGACATTGTTGGCGTTGAACATCGACCCGATCTAAAATTGGTTCTTAATGTACACTGCACTTAAGCTGCAGCGCATCCAACCAGTCATTATCTGACCATCATCGTTAACTTCACTGTCTACAATCCGAGAAGGATCTGCTTTCGAATCTAAGTTTGTCTTTGAAGCAAGAAAGACCTACTTGAAGGTAGCGCCTTTTGTGCGGACAGACCTCTCAATCGACGGCAAAGTAGTAAGAAAGGATGGCCAAATCAGCACAACATCGTCTTGTTTCCCTTCACGACAGTAGTCAATCCATATACCCCAAGTCATGTTGACATAGTGCGCTAGAGCAATGCTTAAGTGCCTGGAGCAATGTCACTATCACGACAGATGGATGTCAAGCTCTGAGAGAGGAGAGACACTCACCACCATCTTTGGCCGGCTAACAGGTGGAACCACCACGTGTGAATCTCTAGATGGAGTTCCTGTACAAGAAAATGTAGACCACCGTCCGGGACGAAGTCAGGAAACCCCAGAAGGCTCAATCCCAGAGCGGCGGAACCATCCTCTGCGACATTGTGTTCAGGATTTTCCGGTCGCGACATTCCTGCCTTAGGCATTCTATCCCGTAAGTGGTGTTGGTTGCAAGAAAGCCTGCTCTGACTCCCTTCACTCTGCGTCGAGGCTTTCGACGCCTTGCTTCCAAATAGTGCATATTGCAGCAGAAGACGATCATCGGCGACAGAGCTATCACACTTTGACAGTACCACACACCCCTAACCTCCACGAGGCAGGCTACCATATATAGGTTGATGCCCAGGAAAAGGGCAGCGATGGACAAGTAGATTGTGAGAGACTTTTGGTACTTGTGTTCTGCGCAGAGCAACGCACATGTCGAACAAGACAGGACGACTGCCTCTAATCTCTCGGCACCACCTGACCACGGGGTTAGTGATTTTCTTTGGAAATGAAGGGATTGCATCAGTCTCCCAGAGCCTTGTGTATACGTACCATTCGAGGAAGAGGGCCAGAATAGACTCGCGAGACTGACAAATAGATGCCCGATGAAAGCAGCAAGAAATACTCCAGGATGACCATTGAAAAGGCAATTTGATAGCCCCTTGCATGCGACGTATGCGCAGCACAGATCTGCCAAACAGTTCGGCCTCTCACTCCAATGCATACTTGAGGGATCTTTTCTTCGAAGTCGTGGCCATATACGGACTATAAGTCCACAGTGGAAAGGGATCCAGAAGATCGCTTGCGATACATCCGTCGCCTGGTGCCGTTCACGGTGCAGGCCTGAGCCACAAAGCTCACATTGAATCGGTCCTAGCGCTCTGAATCATGGTTGTTTCAGGGCATCCTGATGACCCGAGGGATCCGTCTTTTCCGGCGAGTACTACCTAGCCTAAGGAGGAAGGTGCACGTGATGCCTCTCCGCTTGAGATGACTTATCATTTTACTGTATGTAGCGCCATACCAGATCTAACCAAATACAATCACGTGGCTGGGCGTGTCGTTCCGATACGCGTCGACGCGAACATGTCTTGGCGCGGGTCAAACGTCACAGAGGCTCTGGTTGGAAGCCCATTTCGTGAGCAAGATTTACTCATAGATTACGTTCGATTTCTACTTGCAAGAAACTCTCTCAGTGGGTGGAAGAACGTCGAAGAACAGTATGAGGCCGTGTGAGAACCACCTGTTAGTACCGAGTAGTTTCGCTGCTATTACTATTACCGAGTACTGTTTGACTAGACGCTACCAAGCGAGATGAACGACAACCATCATAGAAAAATGAACCCTGACAAGCACATACAGAAACCTTCATTCGCTCCATTAGGTGCCCCAGCCCCTCCAAAAGGGTATGAAGCCCTGTTTTCTGATTTTTACGGCATCTGCACCTCAATTTGCTTGGCCATGGAGCTTATGCCTGACCGATGGGCTCAACTGCTTCCGGGCCAGTAGTGTCCTGTACACCATCTGTTGTTTCCACAGATTGACGGGTCTTTTCTAGGAGCATCGAGTGACGGACGTCCCGTTCACTTCTGTATATCAAGACCTGAACAATCGTGGAGAAGACGCAAAAAGAGCTAGGAACCCGCGACATTAGCAGTGCTTCCAATTGCGGAGAGCAAACCATACGTACACAGCAATAATGCACCAAGACTCAAGTGCGTACTTCAGCGAGCATTTTCTGACGCCTGGTGGCGAGACGGTAGAGCAAGGGTGTCGGTTGTAGTCTTCCGCGGCAAAAATGAATGCGGTCACCCACAGATGGGAGTAGATGTAGTCCAAGGGGATGAGTTGAACTGTGAAGCGTTTGTGAAATGCCAAGGGGATGGTGGGCAAGAAGAAACCGATGCTGGTGCAAGCAATGATCTCTTGATATGTTGTATGCAAATCCCTCGAATAATCGTGAATAAAGTAAGATACAATAGCCATCACAATGCAGGCGCTCGCCCATTTGATGAAGTTGACCATGAAAAGAACGATGCGCAGTCGGGTGAAGGAGGTGCTGGACAACCCAGAGTTATCGGCTCGGGGCAGTCTCAGGCTGCGACGAAACTTCATGTTGCAAACTGGAATTCTCGATTGCTTGAAGCATGTTCGAAGGGATTTCCAAGCCCGTCTTTACAATGTCGGGAGATTTTATATATTCCATCCTCGGTTTGTAACATCCCATGCCCGTCAATCGGCAGCAGTGGAAGAGACGGATGATAGACAGACCTTCCTCAAGTCGGTGCATTGTATCACAAGACCTGTCTGTATTCCGGCTGTGGACTGATGTGTCGATTATTTGATCACTCTATACATGCTTAGCGATATATCATTGCATAGGTGATGCAGATCACTGAGGGGAGCAGCGGCTGCGACGGATTAATGCAGCGACGTTCCACATTCGACAAGCATTTTCCCGAATAAGCATCGAGTTGTAGACCCATCTTATGCTCACATATACATTCCGTCATTGCAGTCATTCCACCTTTTCCCCAGGCCCTAGAATTGTAGTGTGTGGTCTCAACCCCGGCGAAGGAGTAAGAGAGTGATTCTGTCGACCTCCGCAAACCCCGGGGCCAGCTTTCTTACAGTAGACAAGATCCAACACTTCTCCATCACAGACGTGGAGCGGGTACCGATTCCGCAAATATTTCCAAAATTGTTCACATTTCTTTTTGCTGCTAAGCAGTATAAGCTGGAGGTGGAGTATCTTAGACCGAGTCATGGTGAAGACTTCTATTGAGGAATTACCTCGTACAATGTTGTTGCTCATGGAACACGACGAAGCCTAGTCCACTGATACAGCACTTGAAGAACACTGAGGTTAAATTTGCCTCCAGGGTAAAGCACAGAGACCTCCCAATTCTCCCCAGCGCTTGGTATCCTAGCAGCTTCATTGAACGTATATTCATCTCTTCACGTCTCGACCCATCTGGGCTTGTACCCCCATAAAACTCATTGAACCAAAGGTGTACATCAATAATATGCCTCATCATCAAATCCTTGAATCTGAGAAGAGCGTTTAGAAGCTCCAGGCCCGCCCATACCCAGTCCCATGCCAGTCGCCAATGAACCGTTCCCGCTCGTATCCATATTCATTCCTAACTGTAAGCTCATGCCTGGTCCCATTAAACCGTTCATTCCATTCGTTCCGTTCGTGGGAAAGCCATCAATATCCGTGTCGGTAGTGGTTGGATACCTGTCTCCGGTAAGTCCAAATCCGTATCCGGCCTGGCTTGTCACGACGCCCGGGTTGGTTCCTCCGTCTCCTCCACCCGAATCATACGAGTACTGCAGTCCATTGTAGGACGGTGAGTTACCATTCGTATTTGCGTTTGTACTGCTGCCCGTTTCTGGTGTGTCAAAGAAGCTCAGATCTAGGGTTCCCCAATCTGGCGGCTCAGACCCCCAGTTTTCGAAACCCACAGCCAATTGGTTCTGATCCTTAAAGAACCAGTCTTGTGTCTCCTCAATCAGACTTTCAACTCCACCAAACAATCTGGCGGCATTCTGGTCGCCAGCAGTCCCTGCTTGGTTAGAGGATGTCGCAGCTGCGTTGGCTGCGATTCGAGCTTGGTGTGCATTCCATGCATCTTGTTGTGCTTTGGTAAGGTAAGTTGAAGCCCGAATACGACGAGAGTCTCGAGAAAGGTCGGCTGTGGACTGTGGTGGCATGGACGGTGTTCCGGATGTTCGTCTGGAGTCAATCGCCTCTGTGGGTGAGGCAGCCATGGGCGCGGAATATCCGCCTGCATACTGTGACATTGAAGTCCCACGCTGAGCTTGCGACTGCTGTTGCCTTTGAACATTGATCGCCATCAAGTCAGGCACTGGCTGTGACACAATTTGCTGGGCCATGTTTGCCAGAGACTCGGGCGACACCGGTGAAGGTGCACTCGCTGCGAGACCCCATTTCGCCCGAAGCCTTGTATAAACCATTTCCGCCTCCTCGGGCATTTCAATACTCCACCTGTCGGCACATAGATGCAAAACTCTGAGCGTTCGCCGGGCGGCTGTCCAACATTCCCCCATTTCCTCCAAATGTTTGACGCCGTGGATGATATCTCTGCGAGCGTTTTTGTCTGGTAGATTCAACAAATGAATCGTACAGGCTGAATGTACAATATAGATTGCAATGTTACATATTTGTCGAAGGCCATGTGTTCGCTTATACAGTCGAAAAAGCTTAGAAATTGCTGTGGCTCCCTGAGTACAGTACTTTCTCGGGGATACGTGTGCTGGAAGTGGTGAGGTCGTTCGGGTGTACTTCAGGAACGGTCGATATAGATGAAGATACAAGAGTTGGTAAAACATACTGTCTTTGGTCAGGACGCCTCTTGAGGCTTATGGAACTTCAGAGACATACTGCATCAGCAGGACTTGGGGGAGCTGACCCTCCCTCGGTTCCAGTTCAGGCGGCAACCCTTGCTTCCACGCTTCCAATCTAGTATGCAGATCGCTCAGTCGTTTGAGCTCGGTTTGTCTTGGAGGAGGTTTATCAAGCATCTGCGGATTATAGAACGATGTCAGGAGATCGCTGGAAATCTCGGCCAGTTTAGACAGTTGCAATGCAACAGCTCTGGTACGCGCCGGTTGCGCATGGGCCTGAATGATGCCCGAGTCTGTATACGGCGACCACATTTCACTGTCTTCCGATGGGAACACGTCGGGCTTCTTCATGGTGATGTTTGGCGTTAAAAGTTGAGGTTGCCGCCCCAGGTAGTTAGACCAGCACCTGATACCAGTTAGCAAAAGTGAGTTGTTGAAGCAAAGATTCTCACTTGTCAAAGAGGAAACAACCCCAGAAGGTTATCCGCCTCGCATCAATGTCCTCATCTGTCAAGCGTGACATTTCATTGATAGGCACCGTATCGACGTTCAATCCGAGATCACAAGCCATTCGAAAACTCATGCCACTGTATACCCATCCCTTGCTTTCATGACCGCATCCGGCTTCTCTAACGGACATCAAAGCCAGAGCCTGGACTGTACATAGTTTCGCGTTGGCAAACTCGTCGTTCTCGTAAAGGAGCCTTTTAGCTTCTGCAAAGAAGTGGTCACCAGTGGTCCCAGAATCCGCTGGATCTGCTCTTGCTTCAGGCCGGGATGAGAAGTGGCAACCGAGCGCTAGCATAACATTGACAAGGAGAGGTGAGCAGTACTGTGAGGATGTCCCGGTGAGGAAATCTCGATAGAAAAGTTCCTTGGCCAAGGTCGTGAAAAAGGCGTAGTGCCAGCAAAAGTACATGTTCATGAAATGGAGAATTGCCTCTTTGTCTTGGGTGACAATCGTCCATGAAAGAACAGCCTCTTCGTGAGGTCGCACCACGACCCGCTGGTAAGTTGGTGAGCTGTGTGTGCCTCGATGTTCATATTCCTCAGGAAGCCAGATCAAATTCGACGTTCCCCCAATGAATTTGACAGACCCGTCTAGCATCAGATCGCCCATCTTCCCAGAAAGTTCGGCTTCAAATTTCGGTACGCCAGATTCGGCCTCATACATTGGAGAGTCATCGTGTCCCTCCATCAGGCCTTTCTCTTGAGCGTCTATGGTAACCGCAAGTTCTTCTAGATTGTCGCATGTCCGTATCTGCCGGACTAGATCCATGACATCCTCCTCCTCAGCATTCAGGATAGCCTGTATGAGGATCTGGAGAGTGGAATTCTTGGTCTTGGAGGCATCGACATCCTTTTTGTAAACCCCTTTGCGCCGATGGTCGGTGTGTGGCGCATATTCACATTCGGTCAAGTAGACCGATGCGCAAGCAGCGCATTTGGGCAAATTGCCATCACACTTGCTCTTCCTTTTACGGCAGGCAATGCAAGCGGTGCTCACACATCGCCTTTTCGTAGCGGCGCCTCCAGAATCCTTATCCTTGCTCTTGTTCTTGCCTTTAGCCGATGGCTGCGCCGAAACGTCTGTGTGCTCCAATATATCCTCTAGGGGACTCGGATGTTGAACTTGCTCCGCTTTGATATCCCCTTCCATCATTATCGTTATCGGGGAATAGTTGTTTCATCTATCGGTCGTTATCGCGACATGCGGGCTAGTGGTGTGTAGCCATCGCAGGAGCATTCTCTACTAGTGAACGGATTCTGCAGGATGAACGAGGCCCAAGTTCAGACGCTGAGAGCATGGGCTGATGCGCTCCGCGGCTTTTTGCTTCATGGAAAGAATAGTTCGATTAGGTCAAAAGCTTTGGGATTGTCGCGCAGCGGGGTGAAGGTCTGTGCTGATAAACGTTTGAGGGAGGGTTAGGGCCGGTTGGGTTGGAATTGCAAAGGTGCAAGAGGTAAGTGAAACTGCTGGACGGGAAAGGTCTGTATCCTAGAACGACTGTGACTCAATGTAAACGAGATGCAAGGAGAATTTAAATGAGGCACATGAGGCTACCGAGAGGAGAGGATCTGACGAGAGTGGGCATCCCCCACTTAGCCATCATGTAGGGTCGTACAGGGGCTGCACAAGGCTTGTCTGATTAATAAGTCTGGGAGCACAGAAAACATGGAGTAGCAACTACGGAGTACCTCAGACTTCCCCCGGGGCGTCCAGAACCTAGCAGTCTAGGCAAGTACTCAAGTAGGCACTTGGCTCCGCTGGATAAACGGCATATCGGCTTCTCCGCCACCTCGCGCGGACCGGGATTCACCCAGCGAATACTGGACTTCTCAAGGAGAAAATTCTTCTCATCCGCAACTCGATACAAGTAGAACTCTTGCCGCAATATCTTCGGTGTGGAGTCCCTCGGCAAGCAGCGGCAGCCTCTGCAGATCTCAATGCACGAACAGGATATGGATCCGACCAGCTGTAGAACCGCAGGGTTGAAATTTGGCTGAGCCTTGACCCTGATACAGTATGGGGAGGCACGACTTCATCAAATTGTGAAAGCAGTCTCAAATAGATCCAATATCTTATTTAACTAGGTAGAGATCAACTCTGGAGTGGAACCTCGTCTCTTACAACTAGACAGAACATTAGAAGGCTGAGACAGCTGGCGAAAACGTGACCCGACAAGGCTGTGTCACGTGATGACCAAAAACTTCTGGCGCAACTTCGCAGCTATTATTTTACGCGTGAACTCCAACTTCGCGATGATTTAGTACATGTTCTGTCCTTCTTCCATCATTCACAAGGTGAAGTGGTTGGTCAACATCTAGCCGGTCTTGATACCAGCTGCCCAGTTCAATTGATGCAGCACACATCGGCATCGCGCAGTCTGCTGGGGCTCGCGAGAAGATTCAACCAGCTAAATGTCGCCGATCCCTTGACAGTACGAAATCCTCCCCAATTGTGCGGTAGTGGCTGTTGTTAACTCGTGTATAGCAATGCCTGGCACCGAGGCTAGGTTGTCGAACAATCGCTTCTCAAACTCAGCCACCTGTTTCCACCCTCACAACGGACTCTGTAACAAGTCATGATTCGTTTCACCTAGGAAATCCCTTCATTGTAACCTCGCCCACTCCCGGCTTGTCGACCTCTCCGTCCTCCGTCGAGCTCCATGCTCTAGACCATCCGGTGCTAGCGACCCTGTATTCGTGGCCTCACGTCGAACCTGCTCGTTATGCTCTGTACGGCTCACGATACCTTGACGCTCCTTTGCGCAGAGACCTTCTTCATCGCGCTGTCATCTATGAAGCGGACGCGACACGCCAGGGAACGGCGAGCACAAAATGGCGTTTTGAAGTCCATGGGTCCAATCGCAAGCTGTACCAGCAGAAAGGCACAGGCCGTGCTCGTGTGAGGGACAAGAAGTCCCCGATCAGAAGAGGAGGTGGTGTCGCCTTTGGTCCAAAGCCCAGAGATTTCTCGTCCGAGTTACAGAAGAAAGTCTACCACCAGGCCTTTCGAATCGCGCTAAGTTACCGTTTCAGGAGGAACGAGTTGATCATTCTCAATGACAAGATCAATCTGCCAACGGGAAACGGCGCACGGTTTCTCAATAACATTTTCGAGGCCAATTGCTGGGGCCAGGGGTACGGCCGTAGCCTCCTCGTCACAAGTACGCCTGAATCAAGTGGTGCACGAATCTTTGAAGAGATGGAAACAATTGGCGAGCATGGAGATCTGAAAGACATCGAGGACGTGGATGTCAAGGACCTCCTCACTAGCGGGCGGGTAGTGATTGAGAGATCTGCCCTGCTCAGTTTGCTGTGTAAGGAACAGACATTCAAGGAGAACGGAACGGTGTTCACGTATGAGAAAGCGTTGAAGGATGTGAAGCTTGCGAATAAGCTTCAGGTGCCTGAGAAGGTTGTACAGTATTTGTGAAACTAGTCCTTCAATCTATGTAGGCCTGAGGCGCAGACTGGGATGTATTTCTCGACCTCTGTTTCTATTCTACCCTCGATGGCAATGTGTCCTCAATGCCGGTGAGATGACTCGCTGTTCAGCTATTATGAAACAGAAATCCAAAAGCATAACACGAGTTTACGTAGTCAAGATCATAAGGACTGGTCATCCACACTGAAGCATTACTCCAATCTCTTCGATATGTACGACAGTTAGAACAGCCATGCTGCTTTTGCTGAGAACTGCATTGGTTATATTGAGACCAATGAATGTCCATGCCGCTACCCCGTTTGACAAAGCAGCGCCACTGGACCCCTAGCGTAGATGGAGCCCCCGCTGTGGACCTATCCGATCTTGGCTCGAATTTTCTTTGTCCAGTGTTATAAAATGTGGTGGCCCTCTGAGATACTTGTCTAGGTTGTGCACTCTGGTCCTAAATTTCTGGGGCCAGCATTGACGAAGGCGCTACGAGTGAGTCTCTAGACCGTCATCCGCCATGGCGATCCAAAAAAAGCACGGCAAAGGACGGCTTGGTATGTGTTCCACCATCGATCTGGCAATACTGCGCGGGAAAAAGTGGCTGACTCCCTCTCTCAGACAAATGGTACAAACTCGCCAAAGAGAAAGGCTACCGGGCACGAGCGGCGTTCAAGTTGATCCAGCTGAA